AGAGAGAGAGAGAGAGAGAGAGAGAGAGAGAGAGAGAGAGAGAGAGAGAGAGAGAGAGAGAAGTGAGACAAGAGAGAGAGAAAAGCTTTGCCCAACTTAGCTGATGTACTCTGGTACACCGGGTATACTGGACTCTAATGCACTTATGCTTGTAAGAGAATGGCAGAGCCAGCACTTGGAATCTACAAGTAATACTTCTTCTAGGACAGATTTGGAGTTGCACTGCTCTAGAGTCAGAATTCAGCACAGAGAAAATAAAGTGTTACCAAAGAGAAAGGCCTTGGTGTCCTCTACGGCCCTGAGGAATAGATTAGGAAGGAGGTGATTGCTGTGTAATGGTGCATGGGACTGATTAGCTAGGTCAGTGACGTGTGTGTCTGTGGTGGTGTTCTTGGACATGTCTTAATGGAGGATCGATGCCACTCATTGCCCTGCATTGTCAGTCATTATAGAGACTGAAGATGGGGATGGTGAGCCTGGGCAAGGCTGAGCTCTCAGGACTCCCATTGTTCCTCCCTGAGGACATCCACTCCTGAAAGTTTGAGCTGTGTCTGCTTTGAGTGCTGATCTCAGTCCTCCCTCCTGGCTCTACTCACCTTGAAGACTGGTGTCTGGCATTTCTTGAGCAGGTGTGGGATAGTAGATGGCAGAGGTGGAGAAGGGTGTTTGGACATTCATTGACTGAATCTCCTTTGGCATCATCACCATCTCTGGTAGCAGGGCAGAGGCCTGACCTCCAGAGTAGGACATAGAACCATACGACTGCAGAAACTGCCTGAGTTCTCCAGGCATCAGAGGGCCCAGGCTGTATTCTTCCTGGTAGGAAGGTGCCAGGCTGTATCCTTCATTTGGCAACTGTGGTGGTGTGGCCTGAACAAGGCTGGCAGACAATGTTGGATAGGAGAGGACTAAGGCATTGTCATCTAAAATATTTTCACCCTGGGCTGTCCTAGACAAGGAGGAGAATGTGATATTCTGGTCAATGACAGTTACAGTGAAGTCCTGGAGTGCAGCTTCCCTCCAGTCAGTGTTTCCCGTGGGATCCCACTGGAGAATTCCTGGATAGGAGAGTGCTGAGGCAGAGCTCTGGTCCTGATCAGTCAGCACAGTCACCATGGTTTTGCCAGGAGGTAAATATGGGTAGGCACTGTCTATGAGCTGCTGGAAACAAGTGCTGGAGTCTGATGACAGGAGCCATGCTGCACTCACAGCTGGGGTGGAGACCCTGGAGAAGTTGCACACACTTCCTACTAAGGGCGTGGTATTCCCTAGCACATGTGCAGAGGGTTGCAGAGCACATTCTGTCTCAAAGAAAGGTGCACTTTGGAAATTTTCTGTAGGAAGTAAGAGGAAAATGGGAAGAATGTTGAGAAGTCCTTCTAGTTTCCTGTGAGGAGCTGTGTTATCATCAGTTTGTACCATCTGAGAAAGTCTGAGATCTATTTTCCCTCACAAATCCCAAACAAATCATTCAGAATGGTTCTTGGTAATGGATAGGATGACACTCATTTGATGAGCTGCCTATTCTTCCTATGTGGACCTGGACTTTCTAATTGATCCATGATGACCCTTGCTGTGACCTAGACAATACCTATCTTTGCTCTGCTTTGTCTTGTTCTGATTCCTGCTGTGGCACTGCCTTACACCTGTGTCCCAGAACAGAAATGTTTAAAGAAGGAGAACCTTAGACAGCTTATCGTGCCTGTGCCTTTGTCCTGCTGTGTGCAAATCTTCCTCTATGTAGAGAGAGAGAGAGAGAGAGAGAGAGAGAGAGAGAGAGAGAGAGAGAGAGAGAGAGAGATTGACTACCTAGATCAGTCTGGCCTTGAAATCACACAGACTGGCCAGCCTCTGCATCAGAGAATTGGCATTTTAGGTTCTTTCCATGTCTACCAGGCTTGGCTCTACTCTGAGTTTTCTTAATGAAATGATGTATCAGGAATTTCATAGATAAGAACTGTATTTAGCTAAGAATCCTTTCATCATCTAGCTCCCCCTGTTCCCCACTACTTTTTGTGTAACTCATTACCTCTTACATTTATATAGCCATTCAGCTCATATGCATATATGACTACACAAATACAACCTGCTGATAACATTTCATATTGAGTGCCTGTGTTTCATATGATGTCTTGGGACTGCAAATGTATTGTGGAGTTCATCTCTGAATAAGATTATTTCTTAATTTAATAGATGGTTAAATTGATTCTTCAATGAACACTTCCACAGTAATTGTTAATTTCTTGTAACTCTCCTAGTTGGGAATCCTTGTGAGAATCCCAGCACACACTGGTGTGTCAGTTCTTGTCCAGAGAACAACTGACTGTGGAGTAGCCAGCCCATGTTGATAACATCCAACCCTACCAAAAGATGAGGAGAATGCTGTGGAAGATGGGCTGGATAGAGTGTAAGAGCCAGGGCCTAGAGCTGGATATTGTTTTCTATATGTGACAGGAAACCTTTACCTAGACTAATCTCAACAGTGTGGCTGCATAGTAATGGGTTGGGATATGAAAATGTCTTGTGCCTTTTTATTTACTCTGTGGTTATCTATAACATTAGATCCAAACTACCTTTGTGTACATCCAGGGTCATCTCTGCAGTGTGCCTTCTTTATTTCCATGTATTCTAACCCCACTAAGAACCAAATCTAAATGTGACATTCAATTCCAGATATCTCTATCAACATCAATAATATACCAATTAAACAAAAATTTAAAGGTATAGTAAAAATAAGGGAGAAGTGATCCCTTTTTTTAATGTTTTAAAATTTCTTTCCTTACCTGCCATGTTTGGATGGAAAGTATCAGCAATCCACAGTACAATGGAGCAAGAGAATTGTTTGTCCTTGTCTGATCAGCTGACCTGAGTGGCAATTATGTCTGGTATCAGATAGCACTTACTGGTCACTTGTCACAGGTGACCTGTGATGGTCCAAATTTGTTTACAGGCATCTCCATGGCAACCCCAAGACCCTACCAGGTGGTGGTAGGGTTGGAGGGAGAATGATGTCATAAACAGTACAACAGCCAATGGGAAGAATGGATTCTGAGGTAACAGATGGGATGGACAGAATGCCAGGAGACCAACAGCAGCCATGGAGGCTGAGGTGTGTGCTAGTAAAAGTAGGTAATACTGGCATGGAATTCCCCCTCTCAGGAGGTTTAGTCCAGAGTATTGGCAGAGCTTCTTATAACGTTCATCGATGAAGATGTGTCTATTGTTCCTATGAGGTGTCACCTTCCAGCCGAAAGTGTCCTATCAGCATTCACTGGTACATAGAGTCAGCAGCCTTGGGCAAGAAAGAGAGGAACACCTTCGTGAAGGAAATGTGGGTGTGAAACCTTTTCAGTTGATCTGATTTATGAGCTGTCATCCTCTGTCCATGACCCAAGAAAGAGATCAAAGGCTCCTTTCTGACTGGGTTGAAGGAAAGGGTATTGATGCACCTTTGATGATGAACTCCAAGAATCTTCTCTTTGGGTTTCTTCTCCTAGAGGCCTTCCTTAGTCTGTTTTGTCCCAGGCAGGACTCACATCTCCCTTCTCTGCTTTTCATCCCTATTTGGTATGGTTTGATTTTTGGAGTAGGGTAACCCTGTATTTTTAAAGTGGTGGCCAGTATCATGGTGAACTTCCAGAAGCAGTGGTCTTCTGGTCATCATGAAGATGCTTGTAATTGGAGGCTGCTGGTAGTAGCAAGCACTTGAGGGGTAACCCCTGTTGTTTGGGTAATCATCATGTATATCACTCCGGTCTTAGACACATGGGCATTCTTTGTATCTTGCCTCCCTTCTTATTGTTTCAAGTTGTTAGTCATTGAGTCTGGCTGCCTTCCCTCTTCATCCCCAAGTATAATGAGTGTGAGAGTTACTGAACCTTCTTCCTCCTGGCAACAGGCTCTGCAGAATCCTGGGCTCTAGCATTCTCTGCCATGCTTTTTTTCTGAGAAAAGGCTAAATAGAAATGGAACACCTTGAGCAGGAAGGCATTTGTTGTTATGTGGCGGTGGGTTACATGAAAAAAGCAATATAGGTGTTTTTGTAAGTGTTGCAGCTTGATGGAAAGTGATCCTGGCAGTTGAGAGCCAAGGAATAGCACAAAGTCAATAAGCTAGCAGCTTACATCTGTTCCAGTTAAAGTATTCCCCCATGAAACAACTCTGCTTTGTTAGGGGAAGATTTCCCCAGCGAAAGTTACTGTTCTGCTCTGCTCTGCTCCACTGTGGCTAATGTTCCCTCTCTGCTCTGCTCCCTTCTGACAAAAAAAGGTCCACCAAACCTCATTCAAGAGATTATTGGTAGGTGATATTTATTTGCATGTTAATAAATAAAGCATGCCTGGAGATCAAAAGGAAAATGGCCAGCCACTTTTAAGTAAACACAGGAATCAGGCAGTGGTAGTACATACCCTTAATCCCATCAAAAGGCAGGCAGGGTCACTATGTGTCCAAGGAGGAACTAGGTAACAGCCTAGTGTGGTGCCTTTAAACCCAGTACCAACTATAGAAACCTGGAGGTCTGTACAGACAGGCATTGACAAGGAAGTGAGGTAGCAAGGCTAAGATCCAATGAGAAGACAGAACAACAAGGCAATAAAGGCGAGGGTAAGACAGAAAGTAGCTCACTTTTGGTAGCTGCAGGGCTGGAGAGGTAAGGTTGGTGGCTATCACTATTTCCCTGATCTCTAAGGCTTTCACCCCTATATTTGGCTTTGTGTTTCTTATTTAATAAGACAGTTTAGAAATTCATTTACAACCATGAAACTCTATGAACAGGGTAAATACAATTCCTCAGTAAAATTTAGATACCCCACTTCCTAGAAGTAGAAAAGCAATCATAACTTTACCACAAAAGCAGAAAATACCCAGAATAGCATGAGCACACCTCATTAGAGGTCAGTGCTTCACAGGTATTGTAGCCAGTACAGCCTACAACTGAAACAAGGCACATTGTCAGGAAAAGATGAATCTGAGTTAAGTTACAGTTGTAAACACATGCAATTTAGTCTCTTTGAATTTTAGGTATGTACCCAAAAATGCACCCTGGAGTACACATGGCCTCTTCATCAAGACATGCATGGAGATGTGGTTATTCACATGTACAGAAAGAATCTGGATTCCAGCTGGTTTCTTGGAGCATTCCATTAGTCCCAACACTCCTGAGGCAGCAGCAGAGGAGGAGGCAGAAGTGGAGACAGAAGGGGAGGCAGAGGCTGAGATGGAGGTGGAAGCAGAGGGGGAAGCAGGCAGATCTTTGTGAGTTCAATGCTTGCCTGTTTGATGTCAGTTCTAGGACGTGCTGGGCTATGGAGAGGGTCCCTGTCTCAAGATATTAAAAGTGAGTTAATAAATAAATTAATTTGTTTACTATATGTAACCCTGGAAAAAGGTAATGACAAATGTCTCAGAGGCCAAAGTGTAACAAACTCTGATACTATTAGAGCACAGAGTGGCACAGAGTTCAAGGTTCAGGAGATGCCAGTTTTCCTCTCACCCTTCTTCCACAGTGAGTGACAGACCTTCACAGACTCCAGCATGTGCTCGCTGAGGTGTGTTTGAGACTTTTTAAAGCTATGATGGCTGAGCTCAAGTGGATTCCACTTCCTCTCGTTGTGGAGGACAGTGGGCTTCTCTTCTGCCATGACTCTGACTTGATGGCTTCAGCTCCTTCAACTTTCTTGGAGTTGATTTCTCTAGCTCTTTTGGTCTCATCTTGCCCATGAATCCTAGGTCTTTTGAGCCTACAGAGTGTAACTTTCTGGGCTTTGCCCTCCATTTGCTTGACTGTGTTGTCAATATCTCTTTCTGGTCAGAGCACTAGCCACAGCTACTCCTTCCACAAGGTTCTGATACTGGATTCTGGCTAGAGAATCTCCATAAAGCAGATTAGAGTGTTTCTCTTCCTTCCTCCTCACCTGGTTTAAGGGTGTGCTGATGACATCTTATTTTTACTGGGCTTGATCGCTGATGATGACCCTGGAGTCTTTGCATTGGGTTGCTGTGGAAATCTGGAATTGGTTTGGTTCAGAGAGGGAGTTGAGCAGTTGGGAAGGTGAACTTCTGCCACCAGTGTAGTCATGTCTGCAAAGTCCATGCTGGAGGCCAACACACTGTGCATGCCCCAGGGTCATCCTGACCAAGACTGCTGCTTCCCAATGTGGCATTGTCAGAAGCAAGCTTCTGCCCTAGGCTCCCAGCATCAGTGAAGTGCAAGGGATGTTACATGTTGGGGTATGCTAAAGGGAGAAGAGATGGGTCTTGGTTTTCTTTCGTGCACTCATAGGCATCCAGAGGCACTGCTGCCATCTCATGCAGGTTGTCATTCTCTGTTTGTTCCAGGCATGGAGCTTGTGGCAATGCCAAGAATTCTGAAGGTTGTGGATGGGGACTGTTAATGACAATTTTCCCCATCAATAGTTGGTGTTCTTATCTGGTAATCCAGGATGCAGGAGTAGCAAAGTTCTGTTCTACAGTGGAGGGAGTCTCTGGCTTGAGGTGTGATTCCCAGGGAAGTCTCCCTTTGCACCACTGAAAAGGAGTTAAGGAAGAAGTCAGTACCTGGTAAGTAGGATGTCCCCTCCTTTCAGTGCACCTCTGCAGTTAGCCCCTACAACAGCTGGATGACATTCTTAGGATCTCTGCTTTAGCTGCAGGTATTCAGAAACATCAGTCAAAGTTGAATTCCAGTTGTAAACACATTCAGTTAAGTCTCTTGGGATTTGGGGTAGGTACCAAAAATGTACCTTGGCTTACACATGTCCTCTTCATCCAATCATGCTTGGAAATCTGGATATCTACATAGACAGAAAGAAACTTGATTCCATTTAGTTTGTGAGAGCATTCCTTTAGTCTCAGCACTCTTCAGGCAGGGCCAGGACCAGGGCAAGCACAATTGCAAAGGCAGAGATAGAGGCAGGCTGATGTTAGTCTGTTCAAAGCTAGTCTGGTCAACTTATTTATGAACATGCAGAGTTATGGAGAGAAAACCTGTCTCAAGATACTAAAAGGAAATTAATAAACAAATGAGTTATATTTCCTATGTGTCACACTGTAAAATGAAATGCCAAATGCCTCAGAGGCCATAGTGTGAGTAACCCCGATAGTATTAGAGCACAAAGTATGTCAAAGTGTTGAATGTTCACAGACAGGCCAGGATGGAGCAACACACCAGCTACTCAAGAATTCCTGGTTGTACTTAACAGATGGTCTCTCAGGGAAGTAAAACATTTGTTGCTAGAAAAAGAAACAGATATTTGAGAGGAATTCCTAGAGAACAGGAGAACATCTTTGCTATTACTACCTCAGTAAGTGCATTAATATCTAGATTATATAGAATTAGATAAAATACATAAATCATAAGAAATCAGGCAACCCAGGTAGTAAAGGACAAAGAAAAAAATATTCTACTCTGGTATAATAAAAAGATAATAAGCACATGCAGATGTTCAGATTGAAGAGGAATCAGGGAAATGCATAGTGATTGATGACACACAAACACACACACACACACACAATGAATTAAAGTATTAAAAGGATGATTTCAAAGATGGATACAACTTCAGACATACATCGTTATGAATGAATCCCTTCTCAGGAAGATGCTCGACCTTGTATATTTTCTCTTTAAGATGGGTGCTTGATAGTGTATACATAGAATCCTGTATTACATTTAATGAAATTTTAGGAGGATATCTGTCCCAGACCAGTAATGATTAAAGAACTGGGGTGAGTGGTTCAAAATGGGAGGAAGTGCGGGAAGAACAGGAGTGTGTTCACTATACAGTATACACTATAGGAAACATACCAAGTTCAAAAACCATTATAATGAAAATAAAAGTCAAGGAGAATAATTTAATAACTGCTACAGGTTTTG